TGCCCCCTCTCCTCCTGCCGTACCCCCTCCACAGGCCAGCGGGGAAGCGGGACGGGTGGTGCGGGCTGGTGCGGGCGTTCTCCAACCGCCACAAGAATCGGGACCTTTGGCTGGCTCGACTATACGAAGCTAGTCAGCGCGGACCGCAGACACGCCCAGAGCATAGGCAACCCCTTTGGCTCCGCAGCAAGACCTGGTGGCCTGCCAGGCAACGGGCAGCACAGGCCGTGGTGCACCTACGTCTGACGCTAGTCAGACAGGGACCGAGCGTGCGGCATTGGTAGGGCAGCACTGCAGGGCAGGTCAAGGTCGCGCAGGACGCAGCGGTACAGACCGCCCCTAAGGTCGAGCAGCACCGCGTAGGCGCGGGTGGACCACGCAGCCGGTGACCGCAGGCAGGAGCACCGAGGGAGCCACGTGGCAGACGTCCTGGAACAGAGGCAACCCAGACAGCAGAGGGAACAGGAATGGAACGCGGGGAAGTCCACAAGGAAGGACAAGCCCCACAGAACCAAAACCGAGCCGAGCCCCGATGGACGGGCTGGAAAAGCAAGACAGGAGGCAAGACAAGAGGGACGTCGCACAGACAAAGATGATGTACAAAACGCGGGGCATAGAACGCGGAGGGCACCGGTTACTCAATCCACCGGCCCCTTGACAAACTTCGGGCAGAGACGTTCTCTGTGCGACAAGACTTAAGAGGCAAGAAGACAGAGAGATGTAGAGGACGCTGGTGCGCTGCTGGGCTCGCCGCTGAAGGTGCGCTCGGTCAAGGCCCAACACAGCAAGGCAAGGAAGAACTGGGAAGGACGGTGCCAACCAGCGCCGGCGCGGCGGTGGCGGACTGCAGCATCTCGAAGCGTTGCAGGAGTTGCAGATACTCGTGTGGCCATTCAGACGGAGACACTGCGGCACCAGAGGCAGCAGTTGCAGCAGGAGGAACTTCGGTGGCACCAGAAACGGAGGCGGCCGGTATGACGCTCTGTCCGTGCAAAAATCCTGACGGCACCGGAGGCTTCGCTTTGGCCGGCCCGAAGGCGGAGTTGACCTCAGGACGTCGTTGTCCACGGCAGCCACAATCTTCTGGACCTCCTTGACGCGAGATGGTGGCCACCCTCGCCTGCAGGAGGTCAGCTTGGGCTTCCCGCACAAGCTGCAAGAGTCGCAGCTTCTCCTCGGACGGGGGCTCAGCGCCAGCTGGCTGGAGAACACGCCCGCCGAGGCTGAGGCTCACCGTGGGGCCGGGCGCTGCAGGAGTGGAGACGGCGGCAGCAGGATGGACCGCGGTAGCGGGGCGCAGGACAGGACGGTCGGCAAAGGATGGCGAGACCGACCCTGTCCCGCGATGGTACTTGTGCGCGCGAGCTACAGCGCACGAGACCCGGAGCGACCTCGGACCAAAGCTCACCGATTGGGCCCGGTGGTCGAAACGGACACCATGCCGGGCGATGAAGGACTGGCCGAGGATGAGGGGCGTGCGCAAGCCACGCACCACAAAGACCCGAACAGGAAGGCTGAGGGCACCGACGACGACCGGAACATCGGCACAACCAAGAACGTTCAAGTTACGTCCCTGGCTTGTGCGGAGGCCATGAGGAGCGGGGAGAAGGCCGCCCTTCGGCAAAACCTGGCGTACAAGCTCAGGCGAGGCGAGACACGTCGCACAGTCGGTGTCTAGCAGAGCCGAGACCTGAGAGGCGGGGGCGCCAACACACACGTCAATTACAGCCACCTGGCGGTAGGGCCGCTCGGGGGGCGTTGGCCCAGCCACGCACGAGCCCACGCCAACTTCAGTAGCAGCTTCAGCAGCGTCAGCAGCGACTATGCACGGCCCGGGGAGCCGCCAGTCGCGCAGGTCAGCTGACGCGGCACCGCGGCGGGCACGCCGATGATTCTTGACGAACCAGCGCAAAGGCAGAGCCGGCTTGAAGGCCAGCAGCGCACCGCTGGCTAACGAACCAGGTGAAGGGCCGGATAGGGTCCGGCGGCGGCCCGGTGACCCCGAGGGCGCCCGCGCAGGGCGCGAATGCGCCGCAGGGCACGGAGGACGTCGATGTTGTTCAGCATGGCCGGTAGGGCACGGCGGGGCAGGCGACGAAGGGCACGACGGAGCAGTCCAGGGCGGGTACGGCGCATCCGTCCAGGGCGGGCACCACGGAGCAGGCCATGGAGGGCACGGTGTCCGAAAGAACATCGGCGGGGCGACGAAGGCCAACGCGAATGTAGTCCGCGAAGACGGCAGCCGCGAAGAGGCGCAGCGAGAGGCCGCGCAGAACGCAGCGAAGGGCTGCTCAGGACGCAGCGGAGGGCCGCGCACGGCGCAGCGGAGGGCCGCACAGGGCGCAGCGAAGACTGCGCAGAACGCAGCGGAGGGCCGCGCAGGGCGCAGCGGAGGGCTGCTCAGGACGCAGCGGAGGGCGCCAGCGGAGGGCCGCGCAGGGCGCAGCGAAGACTGCGCAGAACGCAGCGGAGGCCGCGCAGGGCGCAGCGGAGGGCTGCTCAGGACGCAGCGGAGGGCTGCGCAGGTCGCAGCGAAGACTGCGCAGAACGCAGCGACAGGCGCAACACGGTTGCCGGAGGCCGGCCAGACCAACTGACGCGCCCGGGAGGTATGCAACCTCTCGAACACCGAAGCGTCAGCAGGTGGCGTCGGGGTAGCACCGGCAGTGGCGCGCGCCCGAAAGCGCTGACTGAAGGGGTTCGAGCGGGCGCTTCGGTCCGTCTACGAAGCTAGTCAGCGCGGACCGCAGACACGCCCAGAGCATAGGCAACCCCTTAGGCTCCGCAGCAAGACCTGGTGGCCCGCCAGGCAATGGGCAGCACAGGCCGTGGAACACCTACGTCTGACGCCAGTCAGACAGGGACCGAGCGTGCGGCATTGGCAGGGCAGCACTGCAGTGCAGGTCACAGCAGCGCGCGCAGGTCGCAGCGGCGCAGATCGCCTCTGGTCGGGCGGCACCGCGTAGGCGCGGGTGGACCACGCAGCCGGTGACCGCAGGCAGGAGCACCGAGGGAGCTTCGTGGCAGACGTCCTGGAACAGAGGCAACCCAGACAGCGGAGGGAACAGGAAGGGAACGTGGGGAAGTCCACAAGGAAGGACAAGCCCCACAGAACCAAAACCGAGCCGAGCCCCGATGGACGGGCTGGAAAAGCAAGACAGGAGGCAAGACAAGAGGGACGTCGCACAGACAAAGGTGACGTACAAAACGCGGGGAATAGAACGCGGAGGGCACCGGTTACTCAATCCACCGGCCCCTTGACAAAATGCGGGCAGAGACGTTCGCTGTGCGACAAGACTTAAGAGGCAAGAAGACAGATAGATGTATAGGACGCTGGTGCGCTGCTGGGCTCGCCGCTGAAGGTGCGCACAGCCAAGGCCCAACACAGCAAGGCTAGGAAGAACTGGGAAGGACGGTGCCAACCAGCGCCGGTGTGGCGGTAGCAGACTGCACCGTATCGAAGCCCTGCAGGAGTTGTAGATACTCGTGTGGCCATTCAGACGGAGACACTGCGGCACCAGAGGCAGCAGTTGCAGCAGGAGGAACTTCGGTGGCACCAGAAACAGAGGCGGCCGGTATGACGCCCTGTCCGTGCAAAAATCCTGACGGCACCAGAGGCGCCGCTTTGGCCGGCCCGAACGCGGAGTTGACCTCAGGACATCGTTGTCCACGGCAGCCATGATCGTCGGGACTTCCTTGACGCGAGAGGGTGGCCACCCGCGCCTGCAGGAGGTCAGCCTGGGCTTCCCGCACAAGCTGCAAGAGTCGCAGCTTCTCCTCGGACGGGGGCTCAGCGCCAGCTGGCTGGAGAACATGCCCGCCGAGGTCGAGGCTCGCCGAGGGGCCGGGCGCTGCAGGAGTGGAGACGCCGGCAGCAGGATGGACCGCGGTAGCGGGGCGCAGGACAGGACGGGCGGCAAAGGATGGCGAGACCGACCCCGTCCCGCGATGGTACTTGTGCGCGCGAGCTACAGCGCACGAGACCCGGAGCGACTTCGGGCCGAGGCTCACCGATTGGGCCCGGTGGTCGAAACGGACACCATGCCGTGCGATGAAGGACCGGCCGAGGATGAGGGGCGTCCGCAAGCCACGCACCACAAAGACCCGAACAGGAAGGCTGAGGGCACCGACGACGACTGGAACATCGGCACAACCAAGAACGTGCAAGTTACGTCCCTGGCTTGTGCGGAGGCCATGAGGAGCGGGGAGAAGGCCGCCCTTCGGCAAAACCTGGCGTACAAGCTCAGGCGAGGCGAGACACATCGC